TAGAGGTAGTTTTTGGGGTAGTCACAAGTCCTTATTCCTCATCTCCTCCTTTAGTTTGGTTTTAAACTGGATTTAAGTAGGCAGGCTTTTTAGAAGCCCTTGGCCATCTGTGTGAATCTTGTGTGATGCATCAGTAAAATCCATAGATTCCCACTACTAATTTATGATTAAGTAGATTGGATTTGCTCTTGGTTAGATTATGATTCAGATAGAATCATATTAGTTACAGCTGCTGGGAGAATGTAATATTCAAATATTTTTAAGGGTTTTTGAAATGAAAGTATTTTGGACAGAAAACATTTTTTGTCCTTTTCTCGTAGATATGTATTGGCTTAATGACTCGCCTCATCCTGGTAGAGTTTCACAAGATTTCTAGGGTTTCATAAACTCTGCAATCTACAGAAAGATCTGCTAAAGTCACCCCTGCTTTTATCATTGGTCCTTCATCTTGATTTCTCTAATCACAGACAACTGTTCTTAACTATAACGATGCCAAAATGACTAAACATGTTGTGTTGACATGACAAAAACAATTGTCCTTTATATTTTCATTGCAACATTGCATGCCAGTACTCAAAAGAACAGAGCTTGTGTCATAAAGCACGTTTTTAACACTTGCTTCCTGCTGGTTGGTTTGTGATTCACACATAAGAGAGCACAGGTACCTGTGCAGAGCCTTTGGAACATTTTAGAGGCCGCATAGAGCATTGTAATACTTTAGGCACCTCCCAAGTGGGTTGCTGCAATGCAATCTATCTGGAGCTGCCACTGAAAAGTATTCAGATTATGCAACTGGTCCAGAATGCAGTAGCACAGTTACAGGGAAACTCAGTACTCCCATGTCATACCTCTGTTCTGTGAGCTGTATTGGCTCCCAACGTGCTTCCAGGTGAAATTCGAGGTGATGGTTATCACTTATTAAATCCTCTATTTCATGGAGTCAGATTATTTGTGGGAACGCCTCTCCCTAGCTGTTTGTACCTATAATATTAAGTCTGCCAGGAGGAACACCCTTGAGGTCCCTTCATATGGAATTCCAGAAGCATATCTCTCATGCTGCAGCGCCTACCCCCTGGAACACCATAATCCCCAAGACTGGCCTTGACCCTTTCAGTAAATGTACAAAATCAGGTGAACTTGGAATATGTATGTAATTACTATTGTTTTTTTGTCTTTTTATTTTGTATGTGTTATGCTTTTTTATGTATATTTGTTTGCAGATGGCTTAACACTTTAAAATTTTTTAGAAACAATGATGGTAACATGAGATCCAAGAAGATACTTGAGCTTGTAGCTATTATTTGATTTGGAGAAATACTATGGTGTTGTAACGATAAGACTTAACCTACAAATCATGTCGTAACATGCAATGAAAGATCTGTATTTCCAAACACTGACCTACTTGCAGAATATCAAGGACGATGCTTTTCCTTACCTTTGCCTTCTCAGTAATTTGATCCTGTTTTCGAACTTGATTCCCCATGGCGATTTCTATGTTCCTTCCAGAGCTACAACAGAAGAATAATTTTTAAAAAGTTGGTTAGAAGCATCACAATGATTTAAGTGTGAATTAGACACTATATTGTCCTAAAGTTTATACCTCCCATAAGCTTCTATATACTATTATGGAACATGTAGTTTTATGTTTTTATAGTTCATACTATGCTCCAGGCTCAGTCTCAAGTATACCTGGGGAGCCTTGGGAAAAACTCCTGATGAAACTTAAAATGCTTCCCCCACTACAACCCCCACCATCATTGCAACCAGTTCTGAGATCAATGTCCTCCTTTGGTATAAGGCAGCATCCTTGTGAAAAAATAAATTTAGCTATAGTGACCAAAGGAAATTGTAGTGCTTAAGAGGTTAATCCTAAGTTATTTGCAAAGCATTCTTTTGAAGCAAAACCTCACCAAAATGTAGATCACTGATAAATCTGACAATTGGTATGTCTGACATTGATCATTATGGCACTAAATTAAACTGATCCAATAAAAGCCAACAATATCTCTTTATACCTTGGTGTGAACAACTTGGTTTTGAGGAGTACAGGAGATAAATTTCATCCAGTACAAGAATGTATTTATCCATTGAACACATACGGAAGATTGAAAAGTGTTTCAAGTTTGACAACTGTTTCATGTTCCTCTTTTTAATCCAATAATGTCAAGCTACCTACACACGAGGCTATATAATTTAAAATGACATATTGATGTGACAAAAAATATTAGAAACATATTGAAGTTGAATCAAAACCTGTACCAAACTTTCCTTTTTTTCTGTTTTATTTTCAGAGTGTTTTTAAAGTTTTAATTTAGATTGTGATAAAAGGTGTCAAGAAATGTTTTTTTCCCACACAGAAACTATGGTAAATATAAGTACGTCATAATCTACCCATGAGAATTTCACCTGACATTTATTTTTCTCAAAAAAAAAGAAAAAGAAAAGAAAATGTTTTTGATAAAATTGAATGAGGCTGGAAAAAACCATACAGGTGAACTTTCTGGGCCAGTGCATATTTGCACACAGACACACACACACAGAGACAGAAAGAATATTGTTTCATGTAAGGGTGGTTGTGCCAGATGGTTTGCCCTATTTACAGGTAGTCCTTGACTTACAACAGTTTGTTTAGTGACTGTTCAAAGTTACAATGACAGTGAAAAAGTGATTTATGATCATTTTTCAAACTTATGATTATTGCAGCATCCCCGTGGTCACGTGATCATCTTTTGCTATATTCGGATAAGCAAAGTCAATGGGGAAGTCAGATTCGCTTAATAACCGTGTTACTAACTTAACAACTGCAATGATTCATTTAACAACTGCGGCAAGAAAGTTTGTAAAATGGGGCAAAACTCACTTAACAAACGTTTCACTAAGCAATAGAAATTTTGGGCTCAGCTGTGGCCGTAAGTCTTTCTATAGATAGTGCATAGGATATTTCTGAAGGTTCTCGCTATTTTTTCATCAACTTGCTCAATGATACTGAAGTTTGATAAAATGCATTTAATGAATTTAAAACCACCGTGAGAGTGGTTTTAAATTCATTAATAACTGTGCATTTTGTCAAGCTTCAAATGATCAGGAAGCGTTACCAAGTGCCCTACATCCCTTTCATTTTCAAAATCTGGCATATGAATGCTAGCAGTGCTGATTGATCCAATTGACCAAATAATAAATAGTAAGCCAAGTCTGGCAGTTGGCAGACAAGAAAACATTAAGCAGTTAATTTTCTGTCTTTGTAGTACAGTATTCAAGAGAGCTATGAAAATATCAGTAAATGAGAGCAGTTGGCAATACACGAAGAATGAGGGCCAACTTTGCTCATATTTAAGTATTGCCAGTAAACTTTTTAAAGGTTGTGTTTTCCCCAGTGAATTCCAAAAAGTATAACTGATTCTTTCAAGGGATTCATATTTTTACCAAGAGTATCTAGAATATTTTTGATAGTAGGACTGAGGAAGGTGAAAGAGAAAAATGGATGGTGCTCAAAAGACTGGACAGAGCAGAAAAGAGAAAAAACAAATGAAAGTTGAGCCCAACAATTTCTTTATTTAATCATTGGATTACAAAGGTGCCTGACTCCAAAAAGACTCTGGGTGGCTTACAGGTTTTGTGTGTGTGTGTGTTTAAATGAATTCTAAGCACTGTTTTCAAAGACTCAATGAAAAAAATTGCCATCCTGAAAAGGGAAAACTGGGAAGGCATGCTATGAAATAGGCTTAAAGTAATTATAAAAACAAATACCATCCTCACAGCCTGAACAAAGTGATAAGAAAAACTCCCATCCCAGATGTTATACATTAGTCCTCACTTAACAACCATTCATTCAACAATCATTTGAAGTTACGACGGTGCTGAAAATGTGAAGCTTATATTTATGGTGGTCACATGACCACGATTGGGGTCTTCGGTGACAGGATCACAATTACAAGACCTCAACATCCCTTGGTCACATGATCATCATTTGCGACCTTCACTGCAGGCTTCCCACAAGCAAAGTCAATGGGGAAGCCAACCAGAGATCATGAATGGCGACTACCTGACATCACACTGCCCATTTCTACTCTGTAATAATGTGCTTAGCATCAGGGCAATAGAATGAATTACATTCTATTTTGGTCCTGGCAGTACTGTGGCTGAAAGATATTTGAAATCTGACATGTTGTTTTTTTTAAAAAAACCTTATTTTTGGACATTTGGACATTTTCCTAATACATAAGGAAGTAATTGTAAAGTATGGGATAGTACAGAGAGAACAGAGAAATATCAGTAGTGAGTTTCATAACCAAAGTATTCGCTGAGCAATGTCTAAGGCATAAATTTGCATTGTGTGCCCATTAAAATCTCAATCTAAGGCTTCCTACCCTGAAGTAGAAACACTTTATATAAAATCATATCACATATATAGTTTTTATATACACACATATACACACAACACACACTGATTAAAAATAATCTTCCACACAGCTAATGAGCAGGAATGTTTTTTTGTTTGTTTTTTTAAAAAAGAGAATATGGCTCGTGGTATTAAGATCTTCATCCAAGAAACCCCAGCTATTTATCAAATGAATTCAAAACACAGAATTCTGCAGAAATAATTCTGCACTGATGCCAACAACATTGCAAGCTGCTCCATTGTTAACATGAAAATCAAAGATTAATAAAGGAATCCTTAGAGTAAGGATTCTAACAGTCAAACACATCACTTTTAAATGTTCTTTTATTCAAATGAAGCATTTAATAGTGCCATAAACAATAGCCTGCCCAAAACCACAGAAAGAATTTTAATTTTTAATGAGGATTTATTAATAGCAAATTCCATTATTTTATTTTTGGTGGAAAAACTATTTTCACATTAATTCTGACCATATGCCAGTGAGTTAAAAACAGATGAATTGTTTTGCAGTGGAAAATGCAGCCAACCAATTTAAAGATTCAGACAAGTTATTTGACCTGTTCAAGGTCTAACACAGAGGTCCCCAACCTTTTGGGCACCAGGGACCAGTTCTGTGGAGAGAGGTTTTTCCATGGACCGGAGGGGGTGTGGTTTTGTGTGCTGCCTGCATCCCATGGATAAGGCTTTGCTTGTTTGAGCAGATCGATTGCTGGCATGCCATGGGCCGGTACCGGTGCACGGACCGGGGGTTGGGGACCCCTGGTCTAACACATCCCTGTTCTCATTCCTTTCCTAGGTTTTCTCTTTACTCAAAAATGGATCCAAAGGTAAGTTAATTTTAACCCCTCTTCTATACCCTCCCCAAGAGTTCCCTAAAAAAATCCTGCTAGTCAGTCTGGTGACATGAGCATGAAAACTGAAAGTCAGCTCCATTCCATCACACACAGACAAAAAAAATAGCTTAAAGATAAAATTTTACTTGAGTCAACTTTGTTAACTGATGATTTCATGGACATGTCCACATTGTTTTCTTGGTAGCACCATAGAAGTGTTTTGGTTTTTTTTTGTTACCTTCTTCCACATTTGTTTAAACTTGCCAGGCTAGTCTACAGAATTAAGGTTTCTTGAGGTTTTCCAGTCCAAGTACTAACATGGTCCAAGCTTGCTTACATTTTTTGAAATCACCCAAAATCAGCTAGAGATTGCTTCCTGCTGTGGCCAGAACCATGAAAAAAAATCCAAATAAAATCACACCTCAACCAAAAAAACCTCCATGACTATAATTTTCTAAGATCCTTGGACCTCAAAGCCATTAAATGCAGTTCTTGGCCATTACAAATATTTCAGTCTTTCTTCATGCATTTCCTTTCCTGAAAATGTGGATTAAAGGTGACATTCAATGGTTCCAACTATTGATTGGACAAACATTTTCAGTTCAAACACTAACTATAATTTATTAGGAAGTTTGAAAATGACATAATGTACTTAGTTTGCATCCAGTGTAATGTTAGCTAAGGCTGGAGTCCAAATTTAACATTGTCTAATTTATAATAGCTTTATGAATTTATATTAATGAACCACAACAAAAGCAAGATCGAATTTGCTTCCAAACACATACTAAGCATAAGGAGTTATAGAAAAGAGTTAATAAAGCTGAACCATGTTTTAGAATTATGTCCAAGCTAAGATTTGGGAAGCTTTCCGTAGTTATATCAAATAAATTCAGTTTTCTCAGTACTCAGTGAGCCTATCAAAGGTAATCACTTGCATCAACAATGTTATTTTCCTGGAACTAGGAGAAAGGGTGACATTCCACCTTTTTTTTTACAAGTAATAATAGTACAATACTAACCTTTTTCATTTCTACTCTGTTGTTAAAATAGCTCCAGTTAGATACCATCTTTATACTATTAACAATTGCACTGAGAGAATAGGACCACTCATGCCATTATATTCCTGTGAACCTATCTTTATCCTTGCGTTCTTCATGCACTGGGAGAGACATGTGTACAGAGATGCTTGCTCCATATTTCCATGCTCCTGCAACAATGCAGATGTGCCTCCTGACATGCAAATGGGGGTGGGAGGGGGGAAACAAGTCAGTTCAAG